GGATTAAGTCGCGGGATGTCAAATATTGCTGTATTGTCAGCATAGAGAGCCGGTGCACAGTTTAATATCTCCACGGTAGATATCCCTGAATTATTAACGAGGGTTGAAAAGAGTGGGGACCCTTGAGGAACGCCGGCTGAATTGGAGTAGGTAATGATAGGGTATTGTTCATTTTTACTGCGAAGAATCTATTACAGTTCTGGAAGCTGTTAAATAGACAAGGATATGAATATGAATATATTATGTGGATGATATGGCGTCATGGTCCCATCTCACGCAGCTGTGTGTTTCATTTATAAATGAGGGCTGTGCAAAGCATGATTTTAAGAGAACAAGTGTTGGATTTCAAACGCAACAATGCCCGAGTGCTAGAATTAAGGCGAAAACAATATTTTATGTAGCCTACTCTCATTTATCATATTCTCAAACAATATATAACATATTTTCATTTCAAGACATGCTCTCGCAGAAGAGGAAGATGGTATAAACATTTTTCAATAGCCACCATTAATGCTTAACTCATTTAATGACAATAATCCTGAGAGATTTCAACGCCAACTCAGAAGAAAACGAAACGAACAAGCAGTTGGAGGGGGGAAGCTGACTACTTGTACTACTAGTAATAATGGAGTACAAATGGCAAGGATCGAGAGTCATACGGAAATTGTATGCTCTGGTGCAACATTCTTCTAAAACTAAAGAACGGCACTAAAGAACGGAACAGAAAAGTGGGTTTAAGAATATTATGGAATAGTACAAGCAAATTTTCATTGAAACATTGAAAATTTTTATTCAAAATTTCATTAGAAGTCATTTTCGATAAAATGTCGTTTGTGTGTTTCTGAAAACTCACAATTTTGAGCTCGTTTTTACTACAAAAAAGTTTGAATTTTGGAGAAACATGTGGAGTTGTGAAACAACCTGATAGATATTTCAAAACATTACATTTACGTAATTTTTGAAACATCAAAACAAAACATCAAAATGGCTATTCATTAGGTGCACATAGCACTATCCGCAAAAATAGTCTAAAGAAAAAATTGGAGCCGTTCACGCGAAAATTGAATTTATTTCACGCAAAATTATCCGAAAACTATACACGTTTTGAAAATAAAGCACCACCTCATTTAAAGATAGAATTTTGAAGAATTGTTTCCATTCAGAAAAAAATATATAATTGGCATTGTAATGTTGGAGGACGCCGAAACTAAATTTCAACTTTTGCAGTTTTCAAAACTTTAAAGAACTGAACGAAAATCGGTTCTGTGCCATTGTTTAAACATACTTTGTTCTATCCGATAAAAAAAATCGTTAAATTTGAAACCATTTTTTAGAATTTTTCTAAAGTATTCTTGAAGCGTTATGTAGAATAACTTCAAAAATCAAAATAACTGTTTTACATTCAAGAGACAGCAAAATCAGCCAGATCGATAGGAGAGAATCAATTTTGGTTAAAATCTTGTATACGGTTTAGCTGATGGCGTTGTTCACAGATGGACAGACTTTTTGCCGTAAACGAAATTTTCGGTATAATCACATAAATCGTGCATTGCAATTACACAACGTGTTAGAGAAGTAATCTACTATATACGTGAACTTCTACATTTTTGGTGACAAGGACTTAAAATACGAAATGTTCTCTTGGAAATAACAGCTTTTAGTTGCATCATTACATACTTTCTTTATACTACCTATGTAGTATGCGAGAAAGCGTAAGAACTCGCTACAACAATTCACATTTAATATCTATATTTTATTACAATATGGTCAATTAAAGTAAAATATTTTGCAAGATGTTTCCCCAGTTTTGTCGAATCAGAAGTAAAATATATAGTGTCGAGTGTATCATCTGTACATTGTGTCATCTGTGTCGTCTGTATGGAGCAGCAAACAGTCTTTAATGTACAACTATTACAGGACAGAAAAGAAGACCAAATAAAATATTGTAAGAAGGTTGCACAAGAAGAAAAATTCGGAACGGATTCATTACCATACATAAAATGTGCGTAGGTAACAGAGGTAACATGACGTCTGGGTACAGTTCTAGATGTGTAATATTTGAAAAAGGTTGTATGTCAACAAGCAAGAAATCTATAGAAAAATACATCTCTTGAATCCGAATTAATTTTTCCCATTATTTGTGATGGAAAGAGATAACACACAAACTTAGTTATTAGACATTACTCAAGTGCCTTCGTTATGGAAGTGGCATCTACAGTACGAGTTAATGTGTAGAGAAGGAAAAGTTGGAACTGAGTTCGTGCCATATTCATACTGACTTAAATTATTAATATGACCATTATGAGACTTAACTCGGTGCAGGCCATGAAAATATAGAGTAAACACGAAGTAGGATGTAGAAACTAATATTGCTTGCTGAGGGTGTGAGCGCGAACATTAAGAACACAAAAATAACGCCGCACTACGTCCTGCTGGTGTTTGCACGCAGCGAGCGCCTTGAACCCGCTGAACAGGAGCGCAATAGGTGTTGCGTTCGGCAGGGGCAAATTACTTTCCTTGTCCTGGCTCAGACGTGTGCAGGCGCTGTAAATTACAGTTGCTGCGGGTTGACATACGCTGAAAAACGAGGGCAAAGGATGCTGTTCAGGATTATTGCACGACGTCAGAGTATGCAGACATAGGCAAACAGAACGTACACATTGTAGTCGTGTAAAGTATTGCAGGAAGAAATTTAAAATAACGCGTCACAGTTTCATCGGTGAACGTTGTTTCGAAGGATATTGATGACAAAGACTTGTGGAGCATGTGCCCTTTTATACAAATATTTTTAAATGTCGACTTGTAATTATATATATATATATATATATATATATATATATATATATACACATATATATATATATATATACACACATATATATATATATATATACACATATATACAAGAACATTTTTTGCTACATACGTGCTAAGTGCGCTTTCTTAAATGCAAATTCGAATAACAAACAGATAAGTACTGCAATTGAGCCCGGTGCTTTGTAATAAATAAATAAATTCTTCGTCGGGATTCTTTTTCCCTCGTTTTTGAGAACTGCGAACTTTTGTTAAAATATATTTATCTTCCTACACAAACTATTTTTGGAAATTTTTTAAAAATTGTTCCACATTTTAGACGTGATTAAATTAAATTATAATATTCGTAATATATCATGGATTTGAGGTACGAATTTATTTTGATTGATTCGATACGCCCTTTAAAGTCACAGAATTAATAGCGAGTTACACTTCAAACATGTTTTGAAGAAATGCCTCTTGAAGAAAGCTCAATACTATGTTGCGATAGTTTTGCGAGTATAAAGAGCAGATGTAGTCAAGACACCTGGTGTTCAAAAGGGCTGATTCAGGAAAAAATTCCGTTAGAATTTTCTAAACAGTTCTATGTTTTTTTGAGTGTTGAATTCGAATTTTGTTTGCCACTTCAAAAATGATCGCATTCACAGAAAAAATGCAAAATCCCTCAGAATGTGGCACTTTTTCGCTTCTCCAAAACAGTACGTTTCATCAAAATAACAGGTAGTTGCAAATTTCAAGTTCACACAATTTTGTCCAAAGATTGACATATTAAATTTTTTTGTGAAAAACTTTACAGGCGACAGAATAATCTCATAATCAGTTACTTTTGTCACTCTAGCCAAAACGGGAGAATGACTCACTCCAGCCCTACCTCGTGACGGCGCTCTAGCGGCACTATATAATTTAATAACAATTATTGTGTAAAAATATTGGCATTTAAGTGATACCTTTCTGATCCTCCGTGGAATCAATAAGGACGTTTTTGCTCGTGAGAAGTATCTGTAAAGTCAGCCTTAGGGAATAAAAATGTATCGGAAACAAGAAAAAAATAGAGAATAAATGCTGTTCAAAACAATGTGTTTATGAATTATATAGCTAATGACAGGGATAATGAGAAAGGGGGGTGAGTTGTGAAGATAGGAATGGGAAAGGATGCTGAAGTAAGTATTTATTGATTCCGGGAGCGTTAACTATTTAGTTCATTAGTCCTGTAAATGTATTTCATGTAATATACTGGGAGCTGACAGTGTTCTTCCGTTAATACGTTGTATCCGACGCCTATGTGTCGCCAAAAGAGCTCGCGGGGCTTTTCCTATCAGGAAACTACGCCACTGCCCCATCCCGACGCCATTGTCTCCTGACATGCGTGAAGACTGCAAGCGGACGATGGGATAAAGATTCCGAAGGAAAGATCGCACATGGTCCATGACCCATTTGTTAGGGTACTCCTGTGGCAATCGTCTGTTATTGATCGAAGAAACCTCGGAAACCTACCGATCGGAGCAGCTGGTCACTAGAATTCTCCTTCAGACTCTGCTACCTAGCAATCTACCTAGGTAGAAAGCCCGATTCACCCAAGCACTTCCCGTTCAATTGATTGATTGATTAGTGTTTTGGACAAGTCAAACGCTAAGATTAGTCACGTAAGTGTAGTGTACATTTTTTATCACGAGGGTGGCAGTTATCTTACTTCGCTAGATGGTAAAATTCGGCGCCGACCTATACGTTAGATTGCGATATTTTCCCCAACCACCTATCTCCCATGAGCGAGGCACTGCCCCAGCCTGTGGACGCTTTAACATTCCGATTGGTCTATCGACATGTGTAGCAGAGTAGTGCACGAAAGTGTGTGAGGGGTGAGGACAGAACAAGGAAACGTAAGGAAAGATCGCGTGCGGTGCGTGGCTCGTTTGTTAGAGGACTGTTCGGGCATTCGCCAGGTGTTGATAGGAGAACTAACGGAAATCAACCGGTCAGAGCAGTCGGCCGATAAATTCTCCTCCACCCAGGGGTTGAATTCGACCTAGCTACCACGATTACCCACTGTCGGGACTCGAACCCTAGCATATCCCGATCAGAGGCACTGCAGTGACGTCAGCTGATGCCCCGTGTCCCGCTGAGCGGGAGGGGCGCGGGGTGGGAGCGAGGGCGATTGCGGAGGCGTGGGCGTGGGCGTGTGTACTGACCGAAGGCGCTGGCGAAGAGGCGCGCGAGGGCGGGCAGCGTGGCGGCGCGCACCGGCAGCCCCTCCACCACGGGCCGCGGGTCGTCCTCCGGCAGCGCCCCTGCAACACACCGCGCCCAGCGTCAGCCGCAGCCGCAGCACGGAATCGCGCTCGCTGGGAACGGACAACACAAAGAAACAATGCGAAGGGGAATGGAATCGACGTCGAATTGACGGTGGTAAAAAAAAATTATATTGATTTATGTAAGTTCAAAGATGAAGTATTTATTTGAAGAATATACGTAGGAGCGGCGGGATCATCATTTCATTTCGTTGATTCGTTCCATTTCTGGCAGTTTTAAAGGGATTTTAAAAAAGCGTTACGCGTAGCGTAGTATTTGTCTATTAGATGTCGTTTATCAACTCTACGTTAAAATATTAACTACAAAAGTTTGTAGTATTCCAAAATTCTGTTTCATTAGCTGAATTATAAAAAGTAAATTAAATTACCATATATATAAGCGAAAAGCAAGGAAAGTTTATAGATAACTATTGTTAAATTGATAAAAAAAATATTACTATGTATTTCTGTATATTACTATTATAAGATGATATTTATAGATCGATATTTATTTCCTGTTTTTTGCAAATAATTGAAAAAAATGAAATAATTGAATGAAGTAACATTTTGGGGATCGAAGTATCATTGACGTTAAAACTATTTAAATGGTAAGGGCGTACATAATGGGCAAATAACGACCTCTTTACCAACAAATCGAGCATTACACCCACACACTCGCCACAAAATAATCATGTACACTTCATTACATTATCACAGAATACAGTAACGAAACAAAACTTCACGCATAAGTTGTTTTGGCTAATCACAATAGATGCGTAATAATTTATCTTGTTTCCACTAATAACGGGATATTATAGCTAACGTTATTTCAAGACTTATTTTATTTTCGTCAATATTTTAAAAAAGTGATTTAAATATTGGAGAAATGGAAACTAGTACATAAGTAAAACTAAATACCAGTTTAATATACATAAAACTGCTTGTTCACGAATGTGTATAACCCAAACGCCCTAAAGCATTTGAAGTTAATGTCTCTTTTCATCGTGAGACATCGATGTACACAGTGTGTGTCAGAACAAATACTTTGGGATACCTGGGAGAGTTCATAATGATTGCTTTTGCCAATTAACACATAGCAGGAAATTTCGTATAACGTTGTTAGGCGTGTGTAATTTTCCCCTGGTTGTCAGACAACTCCTTGTGCACAGGAGTTTTGCAGGTTCCGTTCTGACGCAGCCAAGGATGTTTTATGTACCTGCCGAACACCTGTGTATATGAGCCTGCTTAACACTCATGATCAAATATAACTTGTGAACATCTATAATATGAAATGTGTTCATTAGCAAAACGAGATCATTTCTGTTCCTGATAAGACCCTAAATGTTTGTAACATTTACCCTAAGAAGTTCAGTTGTTATCGGAACGTAACCATCTATCAATCGTACTTGGGGAACCCAGTACTTCATATTGGATTGTGGTTAGCTCTTGGTCAGCGTGCTTGCTACGCGGCTCCGGGTTCGATTCCTAGCCGAGCCAAGACTATAGTGTGCACTTTCCTTGCAACGCCGCAGTATATATTGCTGTGTGACGACGAGAAAATTCACTTATCAAGTTGAGAAGGCCGGTTACGGCGTGGGGATGTCTACGTGCTAACACACGTACCCCCTTTAATTCATGGCCGCGAGGCAGGAACGTCGTCGGTAGGCCTGAGCCCGTTCACGGGTTGTCACGCTAAGTACAAACATACATACATACATTATACTTCGTATTATCGATTTATGCCAAGTCCTATGAAGTACAAATTTATTTCACATTTTATTAATATAGTAATTTCTCATCATTGGACTATTTTGTAAATCGTATTATACAACACATATTTTCGCAACAACTTTTTCCCATGATGACCAGTTTGAAAACCTGATTATAGGATTGGCCGTCAGAGTACAGGTTAGAATTCACCATGTGCATTGCATGTCTTTGGACACTGCATTACATATCTGTACAACCACAGTGTCAATTTCTCAATTTTACTTTTCCTCCCTATACTACGGTACATTGAGGAAAAAGTATTGGCATCATCTCAAATTTTCGATCTCGAATATTCAGTCGTAAACTTCATGTTTAAGGTTCTTATGTGTTATAACTTCGCACACACGTCTGGAGTAAAATTTATTAGTGTTTTTTTAAAGATGGTTAGTTTGGTCCAGGTCGCCAGGAGATAAATGCAAATTTGAATTCAAAAATCGGGATGCCTCTAAGGACGGACGGCAGATAAGTGCCACGCATAACTGTCATATTCGAAGCTTTTGAGCTAGAAATTGAGATAAGCACGTCAGGGGCAAGATCTAGTAGGAGTCCGGATATCATTAAAATGCTTTATTTCTTCGAGGTATTTTACATGAAGCACCTGTGACATTTTCAAACTTTTGTCAAAAATGGCTGCAAAGTTTTCCTATAATATTTTTGCTCATATACAAGAAATTACCTTATATATAATGTGTGACATTTGGCCCATTTGTCAAACGCCACAGCCACCCACGCGGTTACAATCCCATCTGGAGATGCCAGAGAGAAGAGCGCGCGCCTTTCTAACCGCAACTCAGCGCGGCACTTGCGAGGTATGGTCGAAGCGGAGGGGTCACTCCCATAGGAGTGTGACGCGGATTCACCCCTCCCAGAAAGAGACGGACAGCGGATCCAGTGTTTCTTCTTGTTCTGGAGTCGTGATTCTTCTTCTTCTTGCTTCTTGTGGGTTCGGACATCGACGGCCGTGTTAGAACGTTGCGAGTCAGGTAGTGGAGGACGAAGCCGATATTTTGTGAGGACATTTTGGAGGCTTGACACACAGAAGGGCTTACACACTGAAGCGTTGTAAGGAAATAAGTTGAAATCCACCATTGCGATTTGAACGTGAAGTCGTGGCAGAAGACGGGCAGTTGGTAGAAATGTTCAGGATATAAGGAACTAGATTTGCGAAGTGGACGGTTACGTAGTTTAGGCGTAATACGTACATAGTAAGAGGCGGTAGGAGATCACAAACGTTCGCAAAACCTATTGCATGGTTAAATCGACGCCAAGAGAAACGACGGCGTTAGCTGTTCATATGTGCACGGACTGAAAGGCTCTCTGCATAAGGGGTGAAAGAGGTGTACGAGCATGTCCGGTGACCGAGAAGGAGAAGACGAAGAAGAGGAAGAAGAAGAACACGAAGAGGAAGAAGAAGACGAAGAGGAAGAAGAAGAAGACGAAGAGGAAGAAGAGGAAGAAGAAGAAAGGAAGAAGAACAAAGCGGCTGGAATTTGGATTCGATCTGGTGCGTGGCGAGTGCAGCAAAAACTTCCAACGAGGTCTTCGAAGGCGACGTAGAGGAGTCGGCAGCACGACGTCTTTCGCTCAGAGGAAGATCACGGCGACGAAACAGCGACGTCAGGGAGAGCACCGAGCCTGTGCAAGGTAAACGACGGTGACTGCGACGGAATTATCCCAACGTGTTGCGACGAGCGACGACTGCTAGAAACGTGCTCAAGCTGCGGTCGAGCAGTCAAATTATAGAAACTGTGGAAATACTTAGATGAATGCTCCAAGGTGAAAATTGTTGTTCTTTTATAGTTAAATTTGTCTGAGAGCATAGTGCGTTCTCATGACGTTTATGTAAATCCTAGTAGAATTGCGACACACTTCTTTAATATTAATTAGAGTAGAAATACTCAAAGTTTGTAAATTGATTATGTGAATAAGATATACAGTAATTGTATAGTAAGTAGTATACAGTATACAGATATACAGTATTAATAGTAAGTAGTTATGAGAAACTCACATACATGGAAGGTTTTAAAGTGAACCGTTGAATAATTGTGAATTATTATTAAATGTGTAAAGTTTTCAGAACTGGATGCCCGCATGAGTAGTGACTTTTCCATTTCTTTTGTGTTAAGAGCAAATGTTTGCAGTTCATTCAGTGAAGATGTAGCCTTGCACGGTAGAAATGATACAGCATATAATTACTTTTAAATAAATCCTATATTCTAAAGAAAAATGACGGCGTTCAAAATGTGATAGTAATGTTTAAAGGAACTAAATACTAAGATAAGTTTCACGATTCAAGTTTTCAGTGTTTTTTTGGTAATTGTGCTATTTTTTGAGTTGTGTATATCTCTGTATCAGTTGACTTCCTGAATACATGCACTATTTACGTTTTATTTACATGTCTTTGGTTATCGTTTCTCACACCCGAAGATCTCACTGCCATAGGAGAAATTTAAGCTCATGTCGAGCTTTAGATGATTGCTCATCATCCCACGTCATCTCACTAGGTGCCTACTGGTGGCTGGTTTTCTGTAAGGAGGGGTGGCGTAAATAGAGGTGTGTGTGTGTGTACACTGTATATGTACATATACAGTGTACATATATACATATATATACACATATATACATACACACAGTGTGTGGGCTTGATTTCTAAATTTTTTGGTACAGGAACGGTACACTCGTTTGGGAATTGCATGAAGCTCAGCCAGGTCTAAGAATAAATTTAATTTATCTATACTTTCTTCTGGTATACAGAATCGTACGAATACAAATAGACTGGATATCCTTACTTAAGACCGTTGATCATCAATAACACAAGGCTTTTTTTGGTGATTGCAATTTTAGAGCCGAGTATAGGCATATCAGGGCCGCTGATTCCAAAAATGCTAACTGCTTGGCTCCATTAGCTCTGGTGTTGAAGATAAAGTGAAAATAACGATTTTCTTCACTTTTGGAATCACAGTTCTGTTGAGTTAATATGTATAGTCTTTCATTATTATTCATTAAAATCCGACAAATTTGAATTCTCCGCGTCTTTTTAGTAATGTGCACTGTTTCTTTCACTTATTTATTTAGTGCTCAAGTCATGTATTTAGAAATAAAACTTCGAGTTCCTTAATCACAATAATCCAATGCCTCCAAACCTGCCGCAAATTTTGTGATTTTTTAAAGGCGTTCCCGCCAGTCTATCCACAAAAAAACAACGAGCTATAATCAGCTTTTCGTTGTGG